ATTATTATTATTACCTTGCATTGTTTCGCAGTCATTAAGAAGCTCGACGTAACGCAACTTTTGCAACTCGCGCCAATTATTCGCATTGTAAATTGTAGACCATCTAAATGGAGCCAGTATATCTTATAAAATATTTCAGTGACTGCACATCGTTTTAAAAAATGATGTTGCCAATCCTAACATTTGGATCTTGCCTGTAAATTGGCATGCCTCTCGTAACATTTTCGTTATTTGAGAATAAATTATCATTATTATTATTATTATTATCAAAGGATTTGACGATTCTAATTGGAAACCTAAATGCCAAGGTTGGCATGGACAACACTGGATATGAAGACATCATGGGACGACATTGAATGGGAGAAAGGAAAAAAAATGGTGAGAGATTTGCAAACCTATGTGCTTTCAACAAACTTGCCATCAGTGACACAATATTCCCATAATAACACATCAAAAGTTATCAACAGAGTGTTGTTAAGCGGAATGGTTTATCCAGTAGACGCTCAACTCTGTGGTCTGCAGGATAGATAGATCGTGTACTGACCATTTGGCGACACTATGGATGATTTTGGAACAATCAAGTGAATGGAACATGTCGCTATGCATCAACTTTCTTGACTGTGAAGACTCATTAGATAGTGTAAATATAATGATACTTTGTGGCTTCTACCATAGGTGATAATGGCATACAACTTCCTAACAAACGCATCTTGGTAAGTATCAAAACCACACGCTTCGAGGTAACCCATCGAACAACTGCACACAAATGAGCAATCAACCAGGCACATGCATACGCTTTCTCATTAAGAATTGTCCCAACCTTTGAATGCTGTCCTAGCCGAAGTGACCACAAACCCATAATTGGATAATTTCAAGTTAAGACTCTTATTTATTGATTTATTTATTTATATATAACAATAATCATCATAAAGACGCCATCATCACAATCAATACTTAGAAGTGTACAATTTCATTTAAAATGTTTCATCATTTTCATTTCAAATGAGATGAGATGGTGAAAAAAGAACAAAATATAGAACCACAGAGAGAGAGAGAGACAACTGGCTTTTTTGAAAGGTAAAAGTATATGTATATATAAGCCCATTTGAAGTTCTCATAGTAGTAGTAGTAGTAGTATCAGTTGTAACAGTAGTTGTCATGTACAAAAGGAAAAAAAGGGAACACAGCAGTACCAGTCGCAATAGTAGTAGTAGTAGTGTTGACAAGAGTACAATTCAACTTGGTAATTGAAAATTGTTAACAAAAAAAACCACTTCACCACAAAATTAATATTCACATTGAAAAATGAAAAGTTACAGAAATATATATGGTTCAATTCACTTCAGGAAACACAATAGAAAAAAAGAACTGCAAGTATGTGGTCTGTAGAAAGTAGACTTTAAAAACGAAATGGGACAAGAGAAGAGAGCAGGAAAGGCAGAATACAGCAGTGCAAATGTTCTGTTAAAATATTCTGTTGCCATAGCTAAATCCCAATTCTTCATGAACAATACACAACCAACATCAGCCTCTTTAAAACCCATTTGAACGAGTTTATCTACTAATTCAAGACAACGTGGATCAGATCCACGTCCCTCAGCATAAATACTTGCCCAGTGACGTGCAGTTAGATTAAAAACATGTATGCTGCTTTTGTATTTATTAGCAACAAGCGCATCTTGTGGATCGTCTGGTTCTTTAGAAGCTAATAACGCTTGAATCGATAGAAGAATAGTACGAAATGACATAGCAGCAGCCCATTGATATTTCAGGGCATCAGGACAAATGACACCTGTAGCACTACTAATATTAGGATGCCAAATTTGGTGGGGAATTTAACCTTCGGAGGAACAAATGGATAATTATCAGGGATTATAATGTCTAATTTGAATTTCGCACCAGTTTAATGAGTATCCTATGGACCTTCGATAGAACCACATAAATGCATCACATTATTCTCATTAAATGGTTCCATTTTTCAATTGATTTTGTGCTGCCTCATGTGATTTCTTCAGCTCAGCTAGCTCTTTTTGGATACTTTTTCCCACAATGCTGGCCACTTCAAACTGTGGCACACACGCCCAATGTATCGCAAATTCTTTTTGATACTCAGGCAATAACATACGGATTATCATTTTCGTCTTGGACCAGCTGTGCTTGAAGCATGTTTCAAAATTTGCTGGTAAATCGTAAATAGTAATCGGTTGAGACTGAAAAGGAAGGACATAGACATAATGAGTTGGGGAATGATGATCGGTGGCCTATGATCCATTAGCAGTAACAAAGAGGAAACAATTTAAACAGGTTCCATTATAGATTGATAAATCGTAAGTTTCAGCCTCCTAAATGAACAGCAATGAAAATTAACAAGTTAAACCCAAAATTTAGGATACCATTCGGACTGACAGTATTTTACCAGTTAGTTGCTTTCGCTATTCTTGGCTTAATATAGCTCTACCTGGTTGTAATATAAAATCAGTAAAGCTCTATACTTACTTCGTAGTGGATCTGGCTAGACGAGTATTGGAATCTGCGGAAAGGTAGGTTAAAGTGTTAAAGAAGTCATTTTTTACCATGTTGGTCAAGACTTGCAGATGAATGGTAGTGGATAAATCCTTGCAAGTCAGTCTTTTTGTCCACGAAGCATCGCTTCGTTTTGATCAACAAAGGCTATATCTGAATAAAGATAATAGTATTTATTCCTAGACAGCCATATGTTATGTGTTTTCCTTAAGGCGCATGTTTGAGTGGCATTAATTACTTACTTACTTACTTACTTACTTACTTACGCCTGTTACCCGTAATGGAGCATAGGCCGCCCACCAGTTTTCTCCGACCAACTCTGTCCTGGGATTCCCTTTCCAGTTCTTTCCAGTTTTTTTTTCATTCGTCTAATGTCTTTCTCCATTTCTCGGTGTAATGTGTTCATTGGTCTTCCTCTTTTCCTTTTACCTTGAGGGTTCCATGTGAGGGCTTGTCATGTGACACAGATGGGTTCTTTTCGCAGAGTATGTCCTATCTACTTCCAAAGCTTCTTCCTGACTTCCTCCTCCACTGGAATCTGGTTTGTTATCTCCCACAGTATGTTGTTGCTGATAGTGTCTGTCCAACGAATCTGATGTATTTTGCGAAGACAACTGTTCATAAATGCTTGTATCTTCTGGATGATGGCTTTTGTAGTTCTCCAAGTTTCCGCTCCATACAGTAGATCTGTCTTGACATTTGTATTGAAAATCCTTATTTTGGTGTTGATTAGTATTTGTTTGTAGTTCCAGATATTTTTCAACTGTAGAAATGCAGCCCTTGCTTTGCCAATCCGCGACCTCACATCTGCATCCGATCCATCTTGATTGTCAATGATGCTGCCAAGATATGTAAAGGTTTCAACGTCCTCTAAAGAATCTCCATCAAGAGTGATTTGGTTGGTGCATGTTGTGTTGTATCGTAGAATTTCGCTTTCCCCTTTATATATGTTGAGACCTGCTGCTGCAGAGGTTCCTGCTATACTGGTTGTCTTCTCTTGCATTTGTTGTTGCGTGTGTGATAGAAGAGCCAGATTACCTGCGAAGTCCAGATCGTCCAGCTGCGTCCTAGCTGTTCATTGAATAGTGTCGAAGAAGCCTCCACAGTGTTTTCCTGTCCACACTATCGAATGCTTTCTCGCAGTCAATAAATTTGGTGTAAAGTGGTGAATTTCATTCAATTGATTGCTCCACAATGATCCGTAGTCTTGCAATTTCATCGCTACACGATCGATCCTTACGAAATCCAGCCTGTTGGTCTCGAAGCTGGGTGTCTACGAAGTCCTTCATTCCCTTTAACAATACCCTGTTGAAGACTTTGCCTGGTATTGAGAGAATAGTGATGCCTATGTGGTTCTCACACTTGATGAGATCGCCTCCTTTGGTATTTTGATGAGGTATCCTTCTTTTCAATCTGATGGTACTTGTTCCTCTTCCCAAATCTTCTTGAAGAGAATGTGAAATATTTTCGCAGTTGCTTCTACATCTGCTTTCATTGCCTCTGCTGGAATGTTGTCTGACCCTGCTGCTTTGTCGCTCTTGATTTGTCTAATGGCCATGCTAATCTCTCCAATTGTAAGTGCACCAACATCGATTAGGAGTTCCCTAGATGCTGCTTCGATGTTGGGTGGGTTTAGTGAAGCTGGTCGATTCAGGAGTTCCTTAAAGTGTTCTACCCACCATTTCGTTCTTCAGTGCTGCTGATTCCTTTACATCCCTTGCTTTTCACTGGTCGTTTTGGTTTACGATGGTTTCCAGCGAGCTTCTTTGTTGTCTCATGTTTCCTTCTCTTGCAGCCTTTCCCGCAGTCATTGCTAGATTTTCCACATATTTTCATGTGTCGGCTCCGATGCTCTTCTTCACTTTCCTGTTCGCTTCTGTGTATTCAGCTTGTGCCTTAACTTTCTCTGATCTTGTTCGGCTGACAATGAATGCTGCCCTCTTGTTCATCCTTTCTTCAATTTTTTCAAGAGATCCATTCCTTGTGATGTTGCTTTTTGCGACCCAGTTTATGCATAGTGACGTGTTCCATTCACTTGATTGTTCCAAAATCATCCATAATGTCGCCGAATGGTCGGTACACGATCTATCTATCCTGCAGACAACAGAGTTGAGCGTCTACTGGATAAACCATTCCGCCTAACAACACTCTTTTGATCACTTTTAATGGTATTCATAGTAGAATGAAGCTTCTGCAGTTCTGACACTTGAGATCTGTTATATTGAGTATCGTGACGAGAAGTCCGTCTTTCCAGGCTGTTTATACGTTTGCAACCTCCAATATCTTACCGAAGAGAACTTGGAGTATCTTTGCAGTTAGTCTGTACTTGCTTTATGGGCCTTAGTATATTGTCTGATACTTCTGCTTCTCTGATCTTGCTCGACTGTTACTGCTTCCTCGACCTCATACCAGTTCTGCACCATGGTAGTTTCCTATACATTGTATTGATCGTGAAAGGACTGGAACTTACTGCTGAGGGCTATCTTGAATTCCTTGAGTCTTACGATATGCCAAAGAAAGTTCGTATTGAACTTTTGCGATGTTGTCTGCCACATTTTCCAATGCTTCTTGTTTAGAAATGTGTCTTTCCAACTGCTTCTATCCCTCTAGTCATGACTCCTCGCGTATCAGCCATACCCACATATCGTTCTTCTAAGATTTCCCGCGCGTGCAGTAGCGAAAAAGGGCTATGATCAATAAATCATGAGATCAGCCATATGGCAAATAACAACTATCTTAAAACAATGACTTTCTACGAACCTTGATTAACTAGTGCTGTTTGTGACAGTGAGTCTTTTCCTGATGATCTCCAACTGTTCCATAATGACTGGTCTAGCATCTACGTGACAGCCATGTTTGTAAAGTTACTTCCGCAGGATAGATCACTCGATTTACTTGTGGTTATTTTGAATGAGATTTGCTTTAAAGCTCGCTAGTATGCTAATCTTGCCTTAACTGAGCATTTCATCACGTCAGTAGATTAGTTTATAGGATGAATTTTGCTCAAATCTTGTTGATTAGTGGATTCAATGTCGTTGATCCCTCTTCCTTAGAATATTTTGCCAAGATGACGTGTGACATTAGGGACTTAATGCAAGAACTTAGTTTTTCAGAAATTATGGCTTAATTCATTTGCGGAAGACCTGCCGACAGGTTCGTTTGCATCTTTAACTTTACATAGGAGGTATCTGACTTAGACAAAAAGATTCCACTAGTCTAACAACACAAATGAACGGTGCAATCATATGGTGGACACTTTTTCCAAGTCTGTCAATAAACAGCTCAGTTTGCCGGTTATGCACTAATTCCTTTCCTTCATCCAAGTGGTGAAACTCTCATATTCACAAACTCATCAGGACAAAGCCAATGCCTCACATAGTATGTGTCGTTTCAGTCAAACCTATGACTACACATAATACATAGAAAAACGTGATACTTACATTTAAGTAACAAGACTGGTTAGAAAAACTTATCACTTTCGTATTGCTGCCAACGAAAGCTAACCAAAAGTTTATTTGGAGAAATACACACTTCGTCGAATGTCTTGAACTAGGCTTCTTTTTAAGTACATATAATGAGGTTGCTACGCTGCTGGACAAAGGTTCCTAATCCGACCATTCTTAATCAGTAATACGTCTATCCAACGACTTATGTTCTTCCTAAGTCTCATAACGTTTGAACCCCCGAAACTAAAAGAAACTTCGAGGTTCCTGAGCTCACACAATTCTGCTGGCTCAAAAAGTATCCGACCTTAGGTCCCAAACTATGCTTCAAACATCTTTCTTTGTTCTTGTTGCTCCTATAATTGTTCTTTGTGCAAGGATAAACTACCCTGTGACTGGAAACGGGGAGCAGTTGTATACGCCTTCTAACACGGCATTTCTCTTCACGCAAACATGTTAACTGCCTGTAATAAATTACTATTACACTTAAACTTAACCGTCCAGTGCACGGTTACCTCCTGAAACTATCCTAGGCATTTTACAAGTTTGACCAGTACAGTATATCTGGGAAAAATTTATGTAGGTGTAGGTTGATGGCTCTCAGACTGCAGAAGATCACATGCTGTAAGGGTCTTCAATATCCCATCAGATTGATTTTCTATGAAAAACGGTGTGACAGAATTTCGGTTATTGTACCGTTCTACTGATGATCGGCCTAACTCTTAAAATCAAGAACTATCCCTTTTAAGGATGAGCTTAGGACATATAAAGTATAGTATAGAGGGTAGGAAGGCATATAGCCATGACGTAGTACATTTCTCTCTTGCAGAACAGACTGATTATGCGCTTCAACAATAAACCACAACTATTAAAGAAACTGTTCCTTCTATCAGCATCTAGAAGGGATATGAAACAACCACATTTCCTAGTAACCAGGAACGCACTTCGACTATCTAGATGTAGATTTCAAGGGACAGATAAATCACTAGTCTGTCAAGCAAAATGTGAGTTGATGGGCTTCATAGGATAGCAATGAGTGTTTGTCATACTGTAAGCCACAATCGAGCCACCTAAGAGTACTATATATTACAAAAGATATCGGTTAAGCATATTCAAACGTTTTTGGAAGGAAGTGAACTGAGGATCAAGAACTGTTTCTGTGGTGAGGTTAATGATTAACCGTCCATAGTTAAATAGACCGCGTACTAGTTTGCGTCTAATAAGAATTATGCCCTGAATGTATTTATCCTCAATCTATTAATTATATAGTCCAGGATGATCGAGAAATGTTTCGTTTTTTGTTTCATTGGTTGTGAAGTTACTCACTCCCTTGGCGCACCTTGTTTCGGTTGTGAACAGCTGTACCCGTTATTCTATGGATCAGTGCGAGGTTTACTCAACTCGAGGCAGCGCTTTGGAATCAGCAGTAACTTTACCAAGAAGGTATGCACAAAAGTGTGTCAACAGACTGGTAAAAATCATAAACACTTATTAATATTCCTGCGTTCATAGAAATTAATAATCGCTCATCGGCCTTCTAAGAGTTTTCGAAATGTCCTGATTAATCATACTGTGTATAAATAGTTGCAGATTAATAACATAAGTGCTTGTTTTGATAACGGTAGTAGTGGTGCAACTGCTAGATTTCCAATGGTCTGCTTTTGTGTAGGAAATGTATCGTCTTATACGTACGGTGGTTTAAAACACTATCCTATTAGCTTTTAGGATGGGCGATATGCCTATTTCATAGCTTATATACAGTTTATTACTGGTGAGACATTTCAAGAGTCGCAGATGACAGGCAACTGTCAAATCTTAAGATATAACTTTGTCTTTAATTTTAGTCTAATCTAACTTCTCAATTTTTGTTATATTACAAACACCAGTCGTCAAGGTTTGTTATCTCAAAATAACATCCTAGTTTCTCGTGAATCCGCGTATTTACCAATGGAAATAAAGAAATCACACTTCATTCAATGTATATATATATATATATATATATATATATATATATATATGTCACAAATGTACTGTTGTTGTGAAAGCTTGGCTTTGGTTGTCGACTTAGTTACCTATTTGTCAGTGACATTGTGGTTTTTGGACAATGACTATACGAAATATTGCTGGTTATGGTAAATTTTTTTTCACATTTGAGACTATAATACTAAAGTCCTCGTGCTCATTGGTTATACTGGGTTGTACTTTGTCGATCTACTGTAAGTGATACGTGGTTAGTCTGTGTTGTCATCAAACTCAGTTAATTTAAACAGAAACTATATCATTCAATTTAGACCATCTTATTTAAAATACAGAACTAGGAACTGCTATCCCTGAATGTAGTTCAATTCAGGCGATGTAGCATAGTGCTCCATTGTGTACTAACAATTGTGGTATTTTCACAACCATATGCTTAGAAAAATGTAGTGCTTCATCTCACTTGTTTACCGTGTCGAGAGACTTGCTTATGAAATTTGTAAATGTTATGTAATTCTGCTGCTAGCTATTTGATGATACCAGGAAATAAAACGTTTTTACTTGCGTTTGGTACGTAGATATTTATGACACAGTTGACTGCAACGATAGGTTTCTGTAATATCAGTTTCTAATCACCTATCGTAGGTAGGTTTGTGTGGCTTTTTAACTAATCGGTCAGCTATATCAACATAAAACATAAGATATAAGGTTTCACCGATATTTTTTTGCAGTCAAACTTAACTTAGTACGTTTTACTTGCCGTGTAGCCATGGAAAACTCAAACGGAACCAAGGGGACCTCATGGATGATGCTGTAAAACTATCTTCCGTAAGTTAAATTTGGATTGATTTCAGTTCAACCATATTTAAATTGCTTCTTGAACTCATTTTTATGTTGATTTTTTTCCGACCTGATAAGCAGCTCAACTAAATCCAATTTTGTATTTCATAACTGAGTATTCGAACCACCGAAATGGTTGACATAAATAGAAATAACCATTCTGAATTTAAGATTATTTCTCTAACAGTTGTTAGCAGACAGTTCGAAATCTGTTATTTTCTAGTTGTATACGACCATTTCAAACAGAATATCCTTTTATAATTTAAATTTGTCTCCTGGCTCTCTTCACAGAACTACTTCATCGTATTTGGATATTTATCGCTTAGCAAGTACTTCCTAGTGATGGGCCAAAAGTCTGTTTATACTCATCGCATTTGCTTGTGATCTCAAAATAGATAAGACTGGGATCCTTCGATAGTGGCACTTATTCTTTATCCAGGATGAGTCGAAAATTTCTCCTAACGATTCATATATAAGAAATTGGCGTGGAAATTGCTGTAATCTTAGCTTATCGTAAAAAATTTAGATTTAGTTTGATACTTTCAAAAGATAGCTTCTTGTCAGTAATTTGCATATACGAGTCGAATCTCATTAGATTAATCGCTTTCACAGGACTCTTGTTTCATTGTAGTATCATTGTGCCTTTCTTAGTTGTTGGTTTTGGTGTTTACGGTATTATTTCTAGAACTTTTAGCCTACTACTGGGATTACATTCCATTCCAAATGTGTCGAAGTTCCCCATATATGACCAGCTAACTAGTCTCTTGATTTTATTGTAAATTCTTGTCACTTAACTTCCCTAAGCCTTATTTACATTATACGTATGGTAGCCATATCATATGCCATATCATTTCCTTCCACGGTGAGGGCAACCGGGAAGTGTCAACCGCCCTCATTCCCGTAACAGCACGCAAGACCAAATTAGTCAAAATCAAATCCTTCCCACACCCCCTAATATCTCTCTTATTTTTTTAGCCATATCATTTAATTGCTCCAACTCAAGCTACATGTAATTCAATCTTTCGCCTTATCGAATTATGCCCGACCGAAGTTCTCTTTGCAACTTGAGTTGATTCACATTGTATTTGAGGTTCTTCGTTGCCTAAGACTAAAACTATGATAACTGCCAAAGACTTCGCATTGTTAACTGTGCATAGTGATAATGGATTGAGGAATAACTAAGTTCCAGATAAAGGAGCTTAATTTGTTCTATCTGTTGAGTTTTTTGCTCAAACCTAACCAAGTTTGGTGTGATTTATTCCTCGCAAAAGAACTTCAAGTTTGCTGAGCTGAAACAAAACGTAGAGCTATTGGTTGTTTGTGTGAGTCCCATGGATAAATGGAAACATTACAAGGCTCATAAGGTATCAGGAACCTGTATAAGAAGACCTAACAAGTGATTGACCGCTTCACTTGTAATTATTTGGTACAGCGTACCTGGAGGCGCAACACCACCTGAAGTAGGTATAGGTTTGAAGAAATCTCGAGGCCGTCAAACCAATATGTGGCATCAGTCTACGAAATCATTGACTTTTCAACCAAACCTCGTTAGTAGACATAAACTATCTAGTTGGGATCTGTGCAATAACTGCGATTATTGGTTTGAAAACGTTAGATGAACATGGCTGAGAGGCTGTAGCAGTGACACGGATCCATTCACTCTTCATTTTCCTTTAGATCTTGAGCATCTATGTTAAGTTTCTCAATGTTGTTGATTCTGTCACTATTATTTCGGATCATTTGCTATTCGTCATGTCAGTTTCATTTATTTGTACCAATGTAGTTTAGTTATTTAAACCAAATGACATTTGTGTTAGGCTGCTGATTGACTGACTGATTCTGTCATCTATTTAAGTGAGTAAATCCATTGAAGTTTTCATTACATTATTAATTATCTCTAAATATATCATCTTTTTCATGTGAGATTTGCCAATATGGATTTGTTCATCCTAAGTTTGATGATAACTCCTATTTTTTTCCTTAAATATTCAGTGCTTTTTAATTTTTTAGATCAAAGTTTCTCGACATTCACCACCACCACCAGCTTCAGATGGTCTGATAGTAGTCAATACGTCTGAAACAAACGCTATGAGTGTTTTACCTCGTCTACTGCGAACGATGACAAACAGAAATTCTCAGGCAACTAACGGGAATCGATCTACCGTTGAAAATAATCAAATTTCAAATGGTGAATTAAGCTTTTCAATGTCTGTTCCACCGGGATCAACAATCAATGATTGTGATTCTTCATCCTCTTCTTCCTCTTTCATTTCAAATCCATCTTCCGGTTCATCTTTGATTTCATTTCTTTCTCCTGGACATTTGGGACCTGTTGCTGCTATGGCTGCTGTAGCTTTGTCAACTGCTGTAACTACAATGTCTGTAAATGATATCCAAGAATCTTCAGGTTTAGTAACTTTAGCAACTGCTAGTAGCCTAATTGAAAAAGAATGGCGTGCACGTGCTTCAGTTGTCAATAGCAACGATAATGTAAATAATGCAAAAGAACAAGCGGAAACTACGCTTGCTGTCCAACATCATACTGATCTATTAGCATCTGCTATACAAGCCAATGTTGATAGGAATCAACAATTCTCGTTGGATGGTTCGCCTCCTTTAGTAATCGGAGCTTTAAACACTCCATCATCACAATCTTTATTAAATGAATCGACCCCAGTGACTAGAGCTGTACTGAATGTTCAAAGTAAGAAAGGTCTTATAATATTTGTATCTGTATATTTCTTATTTAATATTTTCTTACCATTTTCTAAGACGATCATTCATCACAAAGACCTTAACCAAACCAACAAATCCACTACTGTCTATGCTCGGTTATGTCTCAAATTAGTGATACTTTTAACAGATGCATATACTTCTAAATTATTATCACATTCTTAAAATAGTTGTTATCTATTGGTAAGCTGTATTGTAGCTCCAGATTTCTTCATAAACTTGTCAACGTTCCCAACCTTAGAATTCACTTTGACTTTATGATAGACAATATATATCTTTTGTGTTTTCTTGAACAAAATTTGATCCCAATGGCAGATGAACAAAGTTAATGTGTTTTAAGCCCAGTTTTTATATGCTTGCATTACAAAAGGATAACAGCCATTTGGGATATATTATTAACTACACCTGACGGGGTTGAACTCCACTAGTCACATCTTCTCACTAGAACTCCGAGAACCTTACGAAACTAGTCACTAATGAGCAGGTGGATCGATCATATGACCTACATGCCTAATCCATAAAAGCAATGAGGCAACGTCAGCAGATTCAGTCTCATGGTAACCGATGCCATTTGTTCCCTCAGAATGGTGGAGTTCATGTGTTTCATTGGTTTGGGATTAGGGTTTTCTAACTAACCCACGTAGATCTCCTGTATCTACTAACCTGGTTTAAGCAGCAGTCATTCACTTTCCATTCATTTATCTATAAGTCTTGAAAAAAGTACTTCTGAAAATTAGCAAGTAATATAAAACTATCTAAAGAGCAATTCAGTTGATTGAACTCTGGCTTTAAAATCTTCAGTAATTCAATAACCTTAAATACAATTAGAGTTTTCAAGTGTGAGTTAACTTGAAATGATGTTAAATCTTTGGTGAATGCAATACTTATCGACGGCATCGGTACCATAGCAATAATGTTCAAGTAAACATGTGGTTTCAGTCAAAATGATTTCTTATTTCCGTGTCATGAATGATAATCATTAGCTTTGTTTTAAAATGCGCATGCATAGTTCTCATATGGGACTTATTACTGAATTCTATTTATTTTTCATAGGTTTAGCAGCTTTTATTCGAGAAACTCAAAAACAATGCTCTATATCAAGTCCAACTACATCTATTGAACTGCCAATGACTCCAGTTTTTCCTTTACAAACTGAAACAAAATTAACTCCTTCATGTACTATTAGACAAGTTGCTTCACCTTCTTATCTCTTACCTACTGCATCAACTCCATCTTTTCTGTCTATGACTCCGGTACCACAAAATCTTCCAACTGTTTTAGATCAACCTTTACATTCAGAATCATTAACATTAAATCATAATCCACATCCATCACCACCGATTCAATCAACAGCATTCATATCTTTACAACCTGCACCAGGTTCTATAATTAGTCCTTCGGATTTACAACAGCTTGTAGCCAGTGGAGAGTTCATGTCGTCAGCAGCTCGAGTAAGTTCATCTCTAATTTAATGAAATATTATATATATATATATATATATATATATATATATATATATATATATATATATATATATATCGTGTAAATATTGCTGTAATATCACAGATTACCATTTATTACTTCGAATTTAAATCAAATATTGTTCACTCTTCTGAAATTTTATATGGTGTTGTTTTATACACATCATTTTCTAATATAAAGTGACTAGAAATATTTATTATTTTCTCTAGGTAAATAGATGCTTTTTCATAAACAATAATAATGACGACTTCAATCTAAGCTGTCAAATAATTTTCAGTGTTAGAACACCATTGAGAACCTGAAAGCACTAGACGGCCGTTTCGTCCTAGTTATGGGACTCCTCAGCAGCAGCGCTCACCCACAACCTTCGCGCACAAACGGTAAACACCTAAACCATTGGGTCGGCTTTCACTGGTATTAATATCTAACTTCAATCAATCCACAATTTTGCGCAATCATCTTTGGTTATCTTCGGTGGGCAACTGCCTCATACCCCCGATGCGTTTGAACTCCAATGGTCACAGCTTCTTATTAGAGCTCCGAGAATTCCCTCTCCAAACTAGTAACTAGTGAGCACATAATAATTGTCATTGAGGATTTGTGGAGATTGTTTAGTTCCATCAGAATTATGAACCGATCAGTTTTACTCCCAGTGGTCTAGAGGTTAAGAGTTTGTGTGTGAGACAAAAGGCCCTGGTTTCTATCACCACGTACAGGATCGTGGATGTGCATTACTGAAGAGTTTCATATTATGCCGAAACAACCATCCAATGCATCCAGCTTATCATTGGTGGCCTAACATTGATGGGTTCATGATTTCAATGAAACTCAGCAATCTCTGCAACCCGGTACTGACAAGTTCTCATTGTATTGTTCTCGTATTCCTCAGTAATTATCATCATCGTTTTTGGACTACGTAATTTTGCTGTTTGAATTTTAGCAAACTTTACTTGGTCAGTCTTCTGATGGATCCACACGACAACTTTACCTGCTTGTACCAAGTGATTGTCCTGTAATCATGCCAAGAGTTTCAAATAATCAACCAACTATGACTCCTATTCTACCATCTACATCTCCTTTAATTGAATCTATTCCGACAAGTGCCCCGATATTGGAAGCTATATCTCCAGGTGTAGAACCTGAAGAAAATTGTGTTCAAATGCAATCTGAATCATCAACATGTAACAATACACAGGCACCAACTTCCGTTTCACATTTAGCAACTACAATGCTTAATCCAATGAGCTCTGCATCCACAACGGCATTGTCTACTTTTCTGGCCGGTTTAGAAGCCAGGAATCATCAACCTATGCAACAGATTCAATTAGGTGGGTTATCTTTATCTACAATAGCATCTTCACTGTCTTGTTCATATTCTAACTCTTCATCAGCACACACTATTAAAGATTCATTGGCTCCCAGTTGTTCAAAACTCAGAATTCCACTTCCGACTTCCGGTCTTCCTATTTCTGACAATGGTTTATTATCCGTTGAAGAAAATATTTACCCAGTTACGAATGACGCTAAGAACTCTATTTTGGGTGTTATAAAAAGTAAGTTTTAATGTAGGTTCATGAAGAAACCCCAATAGTCTATAAATTGTTCTATAAAGATGGTTTCTTTTGACGTTCATATTCCATGTTTTTCAAATAGGTGTTCATTAGCTAGAATTGCTCTTTTGTCTATTCTCATTTGGTTTTTAAAATGTTGTGGAAACATGACAACAATCTAGAAAATGCCTAATATCTATCATTTTGCATTATAGTTTTATGGAGATTGTTGATTTTACACATTGAAATCATGAGTGAATGATTGTTAAACCACCATTAGAAACTGGACGACCTGGTGTGTAACGCATCAGTGGCACCGCACCTCAACGACTCTTGCTACTCTCGGGAATCGAACCCGGGACCTTCGGCCTCGCACGTGAACACTTAACCTCTGCACGATTGAGCCGGTCGGCATCAAATCGCAAGCCGCCGACACTGTACGACTGAAAGTGGGAAGAGTCTGCTCTCCCTCTTGAAATATTCTCATATGACAACGCGTGTATACTACGGGGAAAGTCCTACTCAATGACTTCTAATGGCGGGAGTGTTTACAAAATCAAGAATTGAAAGCGAATTGCCATTGATTAAACCAGGTTCGTAGATACAGAAGATCTACGTAGGTTAGTTAGAAAACCCTAATCCCAAACCAATGAAACACATGAACTCCACCATCCTGAGGGAACAAATAGCATATGGACCGGTTGTTGACCACCGGTTACCATGAGACTGAATCTGCTGACGTTGCCTCATTGCTTTTGTGGATTATGCATGTAGGTCAAATGATCGATTACTGGTTCCCTAGTGAAACCACCTGCTCATTAGTGACTAGTTTCGTGAGGTTCTCGGAGTTCTAGTAAGAAGACGTGACTAGTGGAGTTCCACCCCGTCAGGTGCAGTCAATAACTACCGAGGACAATGGTTGAGATTACGCGAAATCCTTAGATTAGTCATAGTTAGACATAGGCATCGTTGGATGTCGGCTCAGTGGTCCACGTGCGAGACCGAAGCTCCTGGGTTTGATTCCCGCGAGTAACAGGAGTCGTTAAGGTGCATTCTCCACTGATGAATCCCATTCACTCATGATTTCAGTGTGTAAAAACAACAATTTACATAATATTATAGTGTAAAATAATAAATAAATAAATGAGTTATCCATGAATGTTTTATTTTGCTTCTTTCAGATAAAATTTGTCATGGTTGAATTTCTTTTTCCCTTAAGTCGTTTTACACACTCACTGTTGTGGATTGGTTGTGGTTTTTGCTAATAATGATAAGACTTGTACACGAATCTAAGATATTTTTGTGGTGTCAATTCAAATTATTTTATTATTATCATTATTATAGGTGATCCTGATATGTACACTCCTAATGGACATACTTATTCATCTCTGGTAGATGAAGCTACCCGGTTCAGATCTTATCCAACGTATAATCAACAATTATCGTCTCATCATCATCATCATCATCAAAATATACCATCTCATAATACAACAACTGTCCAACGACAATCTGTTCTAGCTGCTTCTACCACGTCAACTAGTTCTTTCTTTCAACAAGATTCATCAAATTCTTTATTAGTCAATCAAACTTGTTCTGTACTACCACCAAGTAATAATAATAATAATAATAATATTGCATCAAACAATACCAATACTACTATTGCTTCTAATACTAATAGTAGTAGTAATAATAATAATAATAACAATAATACTAACAAGGCAGAAGAAACATTAACCAATGGACATTTTCAATCATCATTGTCACATTCAACTATTCCACCAACTACTACATTCACTGCTTCGTTAGCACCGAATTCAGATAAAACTCCACAGATGCAATCGTCGTCATCAGTAACAGCAGCAGCAGCAGCAGCATCGAAATCTAACACTTCCGTAAATGAATGTCGCAGAAATTCCGTAACAAACACAATCATAAATACATCATCAACTAGTAACCGATCAGAACAAGTCAAAGGTAAGTGATCGATATTCTTTTTAGAATTTAATGTTTTAGGTTGTCAATGCGCCTGTGTCTTTGAAAGTGTTTTCTTTTTATAATAATTCTTATTTTTTAAGAAAGTTTGTCAGTTCATAAGATGATTTACGAAAGAAGTACATTAATTTTGTGCAAGCTCTCTACTCAAACCCTATTGGATGAGTGAGAGCTTATGGCGAACTGTCATTGAAATTGATTACCTCGAGTGGTGTACGTCAGGATTTTTCACCTTCATTCTTATTCAACTTTGTCATAGATTTGTTCTTAGAGACGAGACGTTCATCGTCTGACTTTTCAGGGGTGGACCTTCTACCAGGAGACTCGCTTGTTGACTTAGAATACGCCGATGACATAGTTCCATTTGGTGAAGACTGACAAAATGCAGAGTCTTCTGACTACCCTCAGCTACTATGCAAGCATGTTTGGGATGCGATTCTCCCCGTCAAAATGCAAAATGTTGTTTCGGGGTTGGCTTGCGTTGGCTCCTGGACTAGTGATCGTAGGGAATGAAGTAGTTGAGCGTGTCCACCGGTTTACTTATCTTGAGAGTCTCATCACTTATGGCGTAAGTGAGATGTCTGTTTGTTAATCAAAGGACGAGTTTACCGCGCAGCAGTTCGCTCCCTACATGTGTGAATCATGGCCAGGAAGAGTAGATATTCGTATGTTACTGATTTTCGACCACGGGTGACTTCGAAACGTTGCTCACATATCCTGAGAAAGTAATGCTAGTGTTAGAAAACGGGTACTAGGCAAGGATGACAGATCAGTAGATGAAGTAGCGAAACTTCGTCAGTTTAGGTGGCTGCCTCGATGAGCTATGTTTTGTGATGTAAGAGTAGACTGGAAGAAGGTTAAGGGCGGCCAGACCAAAACATGGCACAAATCCATGAAGTCATTGACAAATGAACTGAACCATGTGGGTATATGTAAACTACCTGTTCGGGGTCCTCGAGATAATAGTAATTGATTGTTACAGACCATGAATGACATAGCTCAAAATCGTTTACAATAGTGCAAGTGCATCGACTGTTTTGTGCTCTCTCAAATTCTAATCTTATGAATTCTTCATGAATCCTTTTCTCTTTTTAAATTGATCCCACTAAGATATGCTTCTCGAATCATATCCTGAAACCCTAATCTTTTCGATTATTGCTACTACCACTACTCCTATGGGATTTGAATTGACAGTTGCGTCTCTGCTAATGCGGTAAAGCAGGTTGAACTGATGTACATACGTACGAAGTTATACGTTGTATGTGACTGATTTTCTGTCCCCAACCTGTCGACTGAAATATAAAACCATACGTTGATTTACGCTACATCGTCAGGATTCAGAAACCTATTATACAACGTCTACTTATTACAGAGCTTCTAATTATCATAAACTGTACATCACAGCGTACACGCGAACTAGATCGTTTTGGATGAAAATACAGCTAATTGAGTTTACAATTAGAGCAGGTAATAAACACGCCATAAATAATCAAACATAGAATAATAGTTCTAAACGTCTCATTTTTTGCGAATTCATCTATATCCTCTATGAATATATGTAAAATCCCCGGGAAATAACTGTAAATGACACTTGTCTTATCAGTATTGAACAGAAATATCAGATAAAAGGAAGGATTACGTGTAACATTTTTATTAAATAATTACTGATGTTATTACTATATTCAGTTTCTGAATTCATCATCACCTTTATCTTTCTCTTTCTAAATTTATTTCACTGGATTATACTTACTACTCCGTGAATAATATCTTCGAAACCTAATGGTTCCGAATACTGCTCATACTTCTATTACATCTACTACTATGGGATTGAATTGACAATTCGATCTCTGTGTGTTAATGTAGTCTGTCAACCTGAACTGATGCATGTACGAAGTTCTTCATTGTAACTGACTGACTGAAAATTTCAGACTAATGTGGTATATTAAATACTAGAGCAAAGCCCTTAAATTTCTTTTAACTTTTCTCTATTATCTAAGTTGATACGTAGAAATTGTCTGAGTTCATATCGACACAGATACAACGCAGAACATCGTACGTAAGTACATCGGTTCAGGTTGCCATACCACAGCACAGAAACGAAATTGTCAATTCAAATCCAAGAGTGATAGCGAAAGTAGAAGTATTAGCAGTAATGGAGAAGATTAGGGAGCGAAGATATGATTAGAGAAGTATAATTCAGTGCGAAAAATTTAGGATCATGAGGATCATGAGGAATTCAGAAGGTTAGAATTTCATAGAACACAAAGAGTGGATGCACCTGCGCCATTGCAAACGATTCTGAGCCATATCATTCAAGGTCTCTAACCATTGGTGACTTTCGTCTCGCGGACCCCAACCAGGTAGCTTACATCTACCAACATGACCCAGTCCACTAGTCAGTGACTTGATTTATTTGTGCCATGTTTTGGTTTGGTCGCCCCTAACTTTCTTCCAACCTACTTCTTCACCGCAAAACATCACTCGTCGAGGCAGTCGGTGGTTAGGCATACGTAATACATGTCCCAATCACCTCAACTGATGAAGTTTCACTACTTCATCTATTGATCTGCCATCCCTACCTAGTACTCGTTTCCTAGTCAGTCAGTCAGTCAGATGCAACGTAGAACTTCGTACGTAAGTACATCAGTTCATGTTGCCATACCACATCAGCACAGAGATGTAATTGTCAATTCAAACCCAATAGTAGAAGAGGTAGTAAGGGTATTAGAAGTAATCGGAGAGGTTAGGATTAGAAGATATTATTCAAGAAGTATGATTAAATGAGAAAAGTTTAGAAAGTCAAAACTAGAGGTGTTGAAGAATCCAGAAGATTAGGATTTGAGAGAACACAAAGAACATATGCATCGGCGATTTTGAGCCATGTCATTCAAGGTCTCTAACCATCGATTATTATCATCTCGCGGACCCCAACCAGGTAGTCGACAATTACCGACATTGCTAAGTTCACTCGTCAATGACTTCATGGATTTCTGCGATCGATGATCGAAGACTAGTAACCTACGAATGTCCTCTACTCTTAACGGCCAAGTAACGCATCCGTACAGTAGGACAGAGCACAGTACACTCGTCCTTTAGTCAGCGAATGGATATCTCGCCTACGCCATAAGTGACGCAGGTTGGCAAAAGCCAATCGAGCCTTCGGTATCCGTGCTGAGATTTCGTCAGTCACCAGGCCATCAGCACCGATGAGACTCCTCAGGTGCCGATGCAACCCATCTGGTAAAAGGTCTACACCTGAAAATTCAGACGAGAATAAGGTTATTTCTAGGAGCATGTCTACGATAAAATTAAACAAGAGTGGAGAGAATGGACAGCCCTGACGAACATCACTTGATGTAGAGAATTCCGGTGACACTTCTTTATAAGCTCTCACTCGACCAGTGGTGTTCGAGTAGAGAGCTACTATGGGGTATATGTACTTCTTTGGTACACCTTTCAGTGACAGACTGCCACAGAACCTCACGATCTACAGAGTCAAATGCCGCTTTTAGGTCCAGGAAAACAACTATTGTAGGATGCCTAAATGTGTGTCTGTGTTCCAGGACCTGTCGTAGTGTGAAGATGTGGTCTATACAACCACGTCCAGGTCTGAAACCAGCCTGGTTTTCTCTAGTCTGCTCTTCACGAGCTTTCGTTAAGCGCCGAAGTATTGTTGAGGCCAAAATTTTAGATACTATATTAGTTAGACTGATTCCCCTGTGATTGTCACAAGAAGACTTTTGTCCTTTCTTATAGATTGGGACAATCAGTGATTGAGACCAGTCGGATGGGATTACGTCCAGTTCCCAGATTCTACCTAAGATCTCAGTCAACCTAGCTGCTAAAACTGGACCACCATCCTTAAATATCTCAGGGGTCAGTCTATCAGTGTTAGTGAATGAGAACACAGGTGGGGCAACCGAATTGTATTTACGAAAATTACAGAGTTACTCAGTAAAATCGGAAAACCATATCGTAAATCGTTAATTTGCAAAATATCAGTCCATCATATCGAACTGGACTGTTCCTGTTGCAAAACATCAATCCATTGTCACTGTTCATGCGTTTCATACAAATTCCATTGTGTTCTAACTCTTCCTTTCTTGATCTTCCCCCATCTTCTGCTGCCAGACATTACTTTGACACTCACGTCATATACTACTTATAAGTAGCTCGCACCACATCAGGACCTGCAGCTCGCCCTCGCTTCAGATTTCCTAACGCTTTCTCAACTTCGTAAAGACTAGGGGGACTTACGTCGATTTGCCATCCAAGATGACTGGAGATCGTGGGTAACCGAAGAGTGGCTCGAGGCCAGTTGAACTGATCCCTAAAGTGTTCTGCCCATCGATCCAGTCTCCTGGATTGAGAATAAATAATAGTCCCGTCATTTTCCGAGATAGTCTCACTTACACTAGGATTCCTAATACCAGTTTCCTTGATAAGTCGGAAAAGTTGTCTACTGTTCATATAGGATAATACAGCTGGGAAATCAGTAACAAGCATTCAAACAGCTAACCTATTACCTTATTTTTCTACATATTCGCTCGCATAGTTCATTTTTACCTTTTTTTCACAGATGTATTGTATGCGCAACATATTGTATACTCATTAATATGTTTTCGTTTATTTAAATACTTCTTATTTTCTCAGGCTCAACAACATATCTAGAACATTTAAATCCAGAATCCAAAGATATAAGACGTCGTGTTAGCCATAATGAAGGTAAATCACTTGATAATTTATTGATTATTGTGTTGTTGCTTTTTTGTTATGCTGCTGAATTTTTCGGCTCACTTTGACATGGTGCTAACGATATTCTTCATTTCTTTCGAGAACTTGTGTGTGTATGTGTGTGTGAGTATGAGAGAGAAATCGTAGTAATAACCTTGAATTCAGTGGTCATGTGTATATAACCGGTTTTTTCTACTTTTCTTCAAGTCACTCTTAAATATTTTCTTACAAGTGTATGTTTTAGTCATCGAACGTATTCACAGATCAATCGCTTATTGTTTACATCAATGAGTGGCGTTAGCTAGTGTGTAGAAGGTTGAAACTCGCCGAAACGAGGCATGATGATATTGTTGACCGTTAGTCTGAACCCTTCCAAACCATCTCTGTAGAACTCTCCCATTAACCGTGGTGTTTTGTGGTGTAGATGAGTAGGTCGGAAGAAAGCTAGGGGCGGCCAAAACAAAACATGGCACAAATCCATGAAGTCACTGACAAGTGGACTGAGTTATGTTAGTTGGTGTAGACTACCTGGTTGGGGTCCATGAGACGAAAGTCACCAATGGTTAGAGACCTTGAATGACATGGCTCAGAATCGTTTGCAATGGCGCAGGTGCATCCACTCTTTGTGTTCTATGAAATTCTAACCTTCTGAATTCCTCATCATCTCTACGTTTGTCTTTTTTAAGTTATCTCACTGAATTATACTTCTTGAATAATATCTTCGCTCCCTAATCTTCTCCATCACTGCTAATACTTCTACTATCTCTACCACTGAGGTATTTGAACTGATAATTGCGTCCTCGTGTGCTAATGTGGTATGGCAATCTATTCTACATTGTCACTGACTGACTGGATATATGCACTTTTGATTTTCTCCTTAGACATTGAGTTCCATCAAACCCTTCGTACATATTTTCTTTTCATTATGTCTTTTCAAATCATATTCTTGATGTCTATTGTTCCCTATTATTACTATTATACTATTTGAATCTTTTTTCATTATTAATATTGATGATTGATTGATTGAATTGATTGTTTACACATTGCATTTGTTTAGTGTTTTGAATTTTCATTAAAATCTTGAATCATACGCATATTTATAAATCTTTCCATGATTTACTACATACTAATTGGATATTCATCTTTGAAATAGTATTTGTGTTGTAAATTACAGTTGCATTTGCCTAGACTCTTTCTCTCTCTGAAAGCACTGGATGGCCGTTTCGTCCTGGTATGGGACTTATCAGCAGCACTGCTCATTCACGACTCCTGCCCGCAGGATTCGAACTCAAGATCGTCGGTCTTGCTTGTGAACGCCGGTATCTAACGGTGTTCGCACTCAAAACCTTCGGTCTTGAGTTCGGTTCCTGCGAGCGGCATGAGTCGTGGATGCTCACTGCTACTGATGAGTTGCATACTAAGACGAAACGACCATCCAGCGCCTGCAGGATTCTCTAATGGCGGTCTGACAATGTGATTCATTCATGATTTCAATGTGTGTAAGAACAACAGTCTCCATGACACTATAATGCAGGAATATGTTTGTTTGTTTGTTTGTCTGGTTTTTCTTAAATTCAGATAATACACTTCAGATTTACATTATTCTTGCTAAAAACCGAATGGCGCTGTGATAAAACAAAAGTTTGTATCAGGTGCTTTTTTGTCACATATCATGTGATTGAATACTTTGTAAAATATAATACACACGTCTATGTTGTTTATGTGTCTTATCCAACTGGTTCTTTATAAATATATAATATATTTATCTTACAACTTACTGCCCACTCACTTCACATGTTGTATAGTCAAGCATAGATTTTATTTCATTACTAAACGCTTTAATTACTGTTTGTGTGAAGGCGTTTGTTGTTGCCGAATTCCAATATCGCTTGAGATGAAAGAGCGAAAATTCTTAGTTTTGCTTAAGCGCGAAGTTGCCTCATTACTCGGTCTTCTCTGTTAAGCATTCCCTCTTTGGCTGCTTTTGAAGAGAAAGCTTTCAAGTGAAAATTCATTTAGTCGATCATGGGATCTAAATTCAAGAGGTCTGCACAAGGGTATACTAGCCTTTAAAATAACCTTGAGAATAGTGTGCTTATTATAACTGTGGTCGGGAGGGGTGGTGGTATTCGGTGCGAAACAATCGAAATTTAAATCTGTTGGGATGTAACATGTATGAAACGAGAAAAGGCATCAATGTTTGATGGTCTTGCTAACGCGACTTAATTGTATGTATATGTGTGTAAGTATTCGTTGGCACATTGTATACAGTTAATATTTTATTTCAAACAATACAATGTTAACTTATTTCAAAGGTGGATTTTTTCTGACCTGTTCTTATGACAATTAAGAAGTAGTGTGACTAAGACAGCCAGTTTCCATATCACAAACATACTTCACTTCTGTCGATTACTACTTTAGCCAACAATGAAATTTGTTTGTCACACCTAACAAAGTTTTTATATATGGTGTGATGTTCTTTTTATTGATTTCCAAGTGACCATTGAAACAATTCATATTCGTCACAAGTATGTGAATAGATGACAATGTCGTCATGGAACAGACAAATCCTGTCATTTTATCTATTGGTTAATGACTGTTCTTTAGCATCTACTATTATTTTCGGTATCGAACGAAATATTTACAATACTTTTAGATGAAACCTAGTAGTTACAGATAAACGTTATACTACAAAAGTGTCAAATCCATTCACTCTCATACGTGCGAAGCAATGCTGATGTTAGGAGAAGCGTACTAGGTAGGAATGACAGATCAGTTGATGAAGTAGTGAATTGTCATCAGTTGAGTTAGTTGGGACATATGTTACAAATGCCAAATCACCAATTACCTCGACAAGCGGTGTTGTCTGATGAAAGGCTAAGCTGAAAGAGAGCTAGGGGCAGTTAAACCAAAATATGATAAATGCATAACGTCACTGACGTCCGCAAAACAATCGTAGTTAATGGTTAGAGACTTTGTAAGGCATGGCTCAAAATTGTTTGCAATAGTGTAAATGCATCAATTGTTTGTCTTCTCTGAAACTTTAATCTTCTAAATTCCTCATTACTTTATGTTTTTCTTTGTAAATTTATTTCACGGGGATATACTTCTCGAATGATATTTTTGATCGCTCATCTTTTCGATTACCGATAATACTGTTCTAGTGTTAACTACCATTGTATTTGAACTGATAAACTCATCTCTGTGTGTTGATGTAATATCATAACTTGCACTGATGTACGCACCGATCTCTACGTTGTAATTGACTGATTACCAGAAAAGCATAAAGTCATTCCAATACTTGGAACTCTTGATATGGCTAAAAGTAGAAAAGAGTTGGAAAATCTACGTTGTAACTGTTTTTTGTGTTTTGTTCACTCTCTTAAGCCAATAATGATTCTCCTTATAATATATAATAATCCGGAACTAATGCACTTTATAGAACGAAAAAAGACAATAATCAGAGCTGTAAACACCGACTGCTTCGACGAGCGATGTTTTGCGGTGAAGAAGTAGGTTGGAAGAAGGATAGTGGCGGCCAGACCAAAACATGGCACAAATCCATGACTTACTTACTTACTTACGCCTGTTACCCCCAATGGAGCATAGGCCGCTCACCAGTTTTCTCCAACCAACTCTGTCCTGGGCTTCCCTCTCCAGTTCTGTCCACTGTTTGTTCATTCCTCTCATATCTTTCTCTATTTCTCGGCGTAATGTATTCTTTGGCCTTCCTCTTTTCCTTTTGCCTTGAGGGTTCCATGTGAGGGCTTGTCTCGTGACGCAGTTAGGTGCTTTCCGCAATGTGTGTCCTATCCACTTCCAACGCTTCTTCCTGATTTCCTCATCCACTGGAATCTGGTTTGTTCTCTCCCACAGTTCGTTGTTGCTGATGGTGTCTGGCCAACGAATACGAAGTATTTTGCGTAGACAGCTGTTAATAAACACTTGTATCTTCTGGATGATGGCTTTGGTAGTTCTCCATGTTTCCGCTCCATACAGTAGAACTGTCTTCACATTTGTATTGAAAATCCTTATTTTGGTTTTGGTTGAAAGTTGTTTGGAGTTCCAGATATTTTTCAACTGTAGAAATGCAGCCCTTGCTTTGCCAATCCGTGCCCTCACATCTGCATCCGATCCACCCTTCTCGTCGATGATGCTGCCAAGATATGTAAAGGTGTTGACGTCCTCCAAGGCATCTCCATCAAGAGTGATTTGGTTGGTGCATGTTGTGTTGCATCGGAGAATTTTGCTTTTTTCTTTATGTATGTTGAGACCCACTGCTGCAGAGGCTGCTGCTACACTGGTCGTCTTCTCTTGCATTTGTTGTTGAGTGTGCGATAGAAGAGCCAAGTCATCTGCGAAGTTCAGGTCGTCCAGCTGCATCCTAACTGTCCAGTTGATACCGTGCTTCCCTCCAGATGTTGACGTTTTCATAATCCAGTCGATGACCAGGAGAAAGAGAAAGGGTGAGAGTAAGCAACCTTGCCTGACACCGGTCTTCACCTCGAAGGAGTCTGTTAGCTGTCCTTCGTGTACGATTTTGCAGTTGAATCCATCATAAGAATTCCGTATGATGTTGACTAGTTTCTCAGGCACACCGTAGTGTCGAAGAAGCCTCCACAGTGTTTTCCTATCCACGCTATCGAATGGCTTCTCGTAGTCGATGAAGTTGATGTAGAGTGGTGAGTTCCATTCAATTGATTGTTCCACAATGATCCGTAATGTAGCAATTTGGTCAGTACACGATCGATCCTTACGAAATCCAGCCTGTTGATCTCGAAGTTGGGCGTCTACGAAGTCCTTCATTCTGTTTAACAACACCCTGTTGAAGACTTTGCCTGGTATTGAAAGAAGAGTGATGCCTCTGTAGTTCTCACACTTGCTGAGGTCGCCTTTCTTTGGTATTTTGATCAGGTATCCTTCCTTCCAGTCTGATGGTACTTGTTCCTCATCCCAAATCTTCTTGAAGAGAATGTGAAATATTTTCGCAG